ATTGAGATTTGGGAATTGAATTAAATCTTACTATATAAAATGGCCATACACCTAGGGAACACCAATGGCAAAATCTCCCGCTCAATCAAAACGCAGACGTTTAGCAAGGTACAAATACATAGTAGTACTGATGATATATGGAAGGTTGGATACGCAATACATAGTACCACTTATTACACATCTAGGAAGCTGTATACTTTATTTGTCATTTCCAATGCAAAATTCATAGCTACCTGCAAAGTGATCAAATAAATCAAATAAAAAAACAAAAAAGAGGTCCTGAACAGCAATATTAAATACAAATATATTGAAACTAAGCATAATACCACTTATTACTCATCTGTCATTTCCAATAAAAAAGTGTTTGACTGATAGCAACCTGCAATATAAATAGCCTCACATAGAATATCACTTATTACTCATCCACATAGAATACCATCACATAGAATACCAGCACATTAATCGGGAGGTAAGCAAGTTAAGAGATAATGAAGAAGTTAACGAGTTCTACCGTAATTGGCAAAAAAAGGAAACAACAATCACAAGACACAGGTATGTTCACAGTTTCGATTTCTATACGGTTCAAGTATATTATGAGCACTTTTCCAAAAAATAAAAAAGTATATTATGAGCATGTTTGGTTAGTAAATTTTCAAAACAATTAAAATTTTACTTACACTGACATTATGCAATCTAATGTGAAAACCACCGAGAACAGACCTATTGTAGAGTATTCACTAAAACTAAAGTTGAAGAACAAGCAGTATGTGAAACTATAATAGACAAAATCATGTAGGACGTGTAAGTTTATACAACTGCAATCTCACTATTATGAATCTAGAATGAAGAACGGGCCTCAATTTGATTACAATTTGCAAAGCATCATAATAAATAATATGAAGAACATATTAGATGATAACCTAGATATAGATCTAGGAGGTAATCTGAATTAAACCTGTGCATTGACTTATCTGGCCGAGGTAGTTCATCTGTCGTTGTCTGAAACTATGAAATTTTTGCATCGCCTTCGCCGATCTGTTCCAAAGAAAGAAGTGGGTTCGTTCGTACTGAAGAATCTGGCGAAAAGCTTAAGAATCTACCTCATCTTGACTATAAATTCAAAGATATTGTTCTCCAAAAATCAATCGTAGACAACATATTGCCCATGCACTGAGGTTGAAGTTTCTAAAACTTCAGCCTGAGAACTATGATTTGAGAACCAAGAACCTGCCTCCATCAATTTGAGTGGAGCTTGCAAAGTACAATACTCAGATTGAAAGTGAGAGGAAGAAATCTTACGCTTAGATGTTCTTCTCTCGCATGGAGTGAAATGGAGATTTCTACACAACACTAGCCCAGAATTAGGAAAGTAGAATATACGTCAATGCAAGAACATATCTAGAATTAGTTCTAAATATCTCCTTGCTTTTATATATATATATATATATATATATATATATATATATATATATATATATATATATATATAAAGTAAAATTAGTTCTGTAATTTATGCATAAATATATTTGCTCGGTATTCTTTTCATAAAAATAAAATAAAATTTGTTGGGGCCACAACTACGTCGTTTGACCACAAGACCTTTGACAATATTAATATTATTAGTAGTATTATTATTATTAAGTTATCTGTTGTTTAATGCGATGAATGAGATTTGTTATTAGTAAATTAGGAGATAATCTTATTGAAGCATAAATTATTTCAAGAAATAATGTGGGTACTTAAGTTTTGATCCGAGATAGATGAAAGGGAATAAATAGTATAGAAAGGGAAGAAGTAGTATAAAGTTCAAAATGTCCATTTTATTGTCAGACATTAATTTGAGGTTAAAAAAGGAATGAATAATCCCAAGAATTACAATTTGAGGGGGACATGAGATTTTAATTCCATGAAAATGGGGAATTGCAATTCCTTTCAACCAAACAAGAAAATTTTGTCGCATTTGGAATTGGGTGGGAATTAAGTGGGAAGGGAATTTAAATCCCCTTAAACTAAACACCCTGAGGGTCTTAAAGTTATTATTTTAGTATTTACATAATTTATTTATATTTAAAATTTAATAAGACTAAGAATTTTTAATATCATAACATAACAACAATATTTATAATTTTTAATCCGTGTATCGCACAAGTACAATATATTAATGTATATTAATATATATTAATGTATATATGGAACGGACATTAGCAGGAGAATGACACATTTTTATTTTTTTTAAATACATCCCGATTATATTAATGTATATATGGAAAAGAAAATTTTATTTAATGTAAGTTTAGGGCCGGTCCTATCATTTTATAGGCCCCGGGCAGGATAAAAAAAAATGGGCCCCGGTAAATATATATTTTATGCCTAAAATTTAAATTTAATAAGGAAAAAATTATTAATATCAATAACTTTAAATAAGATTAACAAGTTTTTAACAATTTTACATACACAATAATAATCATGAAAAAAATTCTAGGTGCTTTCCTTAATGCAAAATAATAAATAACCGTATAAGTGCCTTCATAAATAAATAATATTATAATTTATAAAAATGAATAAATAATTTAAAATCGAGTAAACTTATAAACAATAACATTGTTATCTTAATAAATAATAAATTAATTATTATTAAAAATTTATAAAACAATAATTACAAACATATATGAAGCTAAAAATCTTTTTTGGCTAGGAGCAAGAAATTATAATATTTCAAAACGCAATAAAAAATGCAAAAAGATATGAAACATAATTATATAGATAAAATAGTTTGAACATAAAGCATATTATAAATCACACATCTTCTATATTATTTATATGATTTTTGTAAATACTTTTTCTTTTAAATAGATAAATTTCAAACTTTTTTAGAATAATTTGAATACAATGACACATGATAGAAGCTTCTATATTATATTGGTTATATATTCATAAAAAGGTACGGAGTAAATTATCTTATAATTTTTTTTTTATAATTCAATCTCAAAATACATCATATAACCCCCTTCGTCCTATTTTTACGGGTCTTGTTTGATTAACATGAGTTGATTGAAATTTTTTTAATTCAATTTTTCATAATATGTTTAGTATAAGTATATAAAAATTTATAAATTTAAAAATTGCATTAAAAATTTAATATAAAAATTTATATATTTAATATAAAATTTTTTCATAATATGTTTAGTATAAATATATGAAAATTTATATATTTAAAAACTACATTAAAAATGCTACTCCATATTAAACACAAAAAATCAATAAAAATAAATTTTTAAAATATAAGCAAAAAGTAAAATTGAGGAATTCTAAAGGGAAGGATTGGATCACCGGCCTTTGATTAAATAATGTTAAAACTCAAGTATTTTACTAACCAAGCTAATTCACCTTACTATAAAACATATGTATATAATAAATTACTTATACTCAATACATATATACTATATATATAAGAGATAGGATAGGGCCCTCCCCAAGCACGGGCCCTGGGCAAAGGCCCAGCCTGCCCTTGCCCCAGGGCCGGCCCTGTGTAAGTTATATTGGTTATGCATGGTACATTATTATTGTCACACTGAATGATGTATATTATTCTCTTTGTTTAGGGAACAAAGAAAATTTCACGGAAGAGACGGTTAGTTTACATTGTACTACAACTCAAAATTGTATGTATGGTATATTTCAAGGAAATTATGGTACTCCTCTACGCATTGTACATATAGTAAGTGTCAACTGTTAAATACATTTGATTTTAATTTTTTAAACATGTAGTTCTAAATACGACTGTTTTTTTTTTTTTATGCAAGATGGGAGTTTAGTCAAATCGTCAATAAAGAGTGTTAATCAATTGGGTTCATCTTCAAGTAACATGCACTTGCATTGTACTTTGGAAAACATACCAAGTTTTCAAACCCTGGATCATACTATTGGTTAGTAAAGAATTTATTCTTTTTTGTAGTACCATTTGTTTTATTTTACGTTTTTTTAATGTTTAATTTATTCATGACTTAACATATATTTTAATTTTAGTCTAACTTATAATTGTTCTTTCATGCAGGTAGTGAAAGAAATGTAAAGAAGAGTCATTTCTTGAAAAATGTGCAAATGGACTCAGAATCACATATACCACTCAATTCAACTATCCCATTGAGTGATGTTACAAATTGTATGTATTGAGTTGAAAATACAAACCCCATAACTATACATATGCTAAGAAGATATTTTATGGTCTTAAGGATTGTTAAATAAACACATGCAACACAAATGGAATATCTAGAACTCCAATACATGCCGGTGTGTCTAGGAAGCATTGATGTAGTCGTTTTATCATATATTTCTTTGAGAAAAATCAAATATGTACATAATTTTTGTTTCAAACATCTGTAATTATTATTATATATTTTTAATAATTTTCAAACCAATTTTTAAATATTTCTATTAAATCACTAATATATATATATTTCCACATTTAATGCCAGTTGAACAGATAAGGATCTTTAATAAAAAGTCCAAGAGGCCAATTGATTGCGATATGGAAGTTGGTGAACAATCAGCATTCAATCGTAGAAACCTAACTCTTGATTTTGATGATGCTTCGCAACCAACAGAAATGGAAGAAAATAGTAATAATGGTCCGTGTTAGACTATACTTTTGTATTTGAGTAGTATTCTTTATTAAATTGGTAAGAGCATGCTTATTAAACGTAATAATATAACTTCTTTTTTTTTGTATGTTTTATGTAGTACAATATGCAGACTTAGGCGATCCGGAATACAGCTGTGAGCATTGCAATGCCATATTTTGGTACGGAGAAAGGGTTAACAAATCAATAGTTTGCAGGTTACCTAAATATTCAGCATGTTGCGCTCAGGGGAAGATTACGTTACCGCTAATGATTGCCCCTCCAAAAAAAATGTTAGACCTCTTTTTAGTGATAGGTGAAAAAAGAACAAGTTTCTTGGAACATATTAGAACATATAATAGTATGTTCTGCTTCACTTCGATGGGTGGCAAAGTTGACAAGTCTATAAATTGTGGGAATGCTCAACCAATTTTTAGGATAAATGGTCAAAATTTTCATTTGATCGGAAGTTTATTACCCACGGATGGTAGTCAACCAAAATTTGCACAGATTTACATTCATGACACCCAACAAGAGGTCAACAATCGTATCAACACATTCAGGTGTTGTGTCATAACAAGTTATACATAATTTTTAATAAAGTTTATGTAAAATGTTTAAGTTTTTTTTTATTTATTTATTAAAGTACAATGTTTTGAATATTTTGTAGGAATGCGGATGGAAAAAGTAATATTCGTGTTGACGTTGTTGCAGACATAAAAGAAGTACTAGATGAGCATAATGTGTTAGTTAAATCATTTCGGATGGCTAAGGGTGAGATTGAATCTAACCCCCGTGTTGAGGTTAAGACGAGGCTTATTGGTAAAAGGAGTAGTGATGCAAGAACTTATAACTTACCAAATGTTTCAGAAGTTGCAGCTTTAATAGTTGGTGACTTTGATCCAACGTTAGGGGAACGTGATATTTTGGTTGAGTCCAAATGTGGAGATTTGAAGCGTATAAATGAATTGAATCCATCATATCTTCCCTTACAATATCCTATTTTGTTTCCATACGGTGAGGATGGTTATCGAGAAGATATACAATTCTCTGTACCAAGCTCAAGTTCTAACGTTGGGCGGAAACGAATATCCCAAAGGGAGTTCTTCGCTTTTCGTATACACGAGAGGCTTAATGAGGTAAACACGTTGTTTTCAAAGCGTCTATTGCAACAGTTTTTAGTTGATGCATACACTATGGTGGAATCCAGTAGACTCACATTCATCAGGCAAAATCAAAAGTCTTTGAGGTGTGAAGCGTACAAAGGTTTGTCAGACGCATTAACACGTGGTGAAGTTGATCCTACCACTCAAGGTAAACAAATAGTCTTACCATCAAGTTTTACAGGAGGGGCTAGATACATGATATAGAATTATCAAGATGTCATGGCTATTTGTCGTTAGATTGGATACCCGAATTTGTTTATTACATTTACATGTAATCCAAAGTGGCCAGAGATCCAACGTTACATACATAAACGGGGTTTGAAAGCTGAGGACAGACCAGACATAGTGTGCCGGATTTTTAAATTGAAACTGGATTCGCTAATTAGAGAAATCAGGGTTGGTCAAGTATTTGGAGAGGTCAGTTCAGGTTAGTGATTACTACTTTGTACTTTCTCTAAATTTTATATATATATATATTTTTTCAATTAGATGATGTTTACTAAGTTGTTATTTTAATTTCCACAGTTATATACACAATTGAATTTCAGAAGAGAGGTTTGCCTCATGCGCATATACTTCTCTTTCTGTCAAGGAAGAGTGCAACATTATCCACGACATGCATGGATAATATTATATCAGCAGAGATCCTCGACAAATATGGAGACACCCAATATTACAATGCAGTCGAGGAATTCATGATTCATGGCCCATGTGGTGTAGTAAATAAAAAGTCTCCATGCATGATCAACGGAAAATGTTCAAAGCATTTCCCCAAGAAATTTGTAGAAGCTTCTATTTTAGATGATAATGGGTACCCAAAGTATAGGAGATGTGATGATGGTAGAACAGTGTTGAAAAGTGGTACACAGTTGGACAATCGATATGTTGTGCCTCATAATAAATACCTTCTTCTTAAATATAATGCACACATCAACGTTGAGTGGTGTAATCAATCAAAGTCTATCAAGTACCTTTTCATGTATATGAATAAGGGAAATGATAGGGTGACTGCTGAGTTCTATAAGAGTACAGTTGATGAAAATTCTGCAGAAGTGATAGATGAGATAGGCATGTATTATGATTGTCGTTATGTGTCTACTTGCGAGGCGACATGGCGACTGTTTAGTAATGACGTGCAATTTAGGATGCCATCGGTGGAGAGATTGAGTTTTCATCTACCCGACTGCCAATCTGTGATTTTCGATGATGACGACAGTATTGAACGTGTGCTAAGTCGTCCTACGGTAGCCCAAAGTATGTTTACTGCTTGGTTTGAAGCAAACAAGAAATACCCAGCTGCAAGACTTTTGACTTACATTGATATGCCAACTAAGTTTGTTTGGAAAAAGACAGTCCGAGAATGGCATCCTAGGAAGAGGAGATTCTCGATTGGTCGTATCTTTTATGTTCCGCCAGGAAGTGGCGAAATATATTACTTAAGGTGTCTTTTGAACATAGTACGTGGTCCTACCAGTTTCGAAGACATCAAGCCTGTCAATGGTGTAACACACTTGACATTCAAAGATGCATGTTATGCTCGAGGGTTGTTAGATGATGATAAGGAGTATATCGATGCAATCAACGAGGCAAGTCAATGGTCTTCTGGTCATGCAATGAGAAAACTTTTTGTTATATTACTAACATCAAATTCAATGGTAAGACCTGAATTTGTTTGGAATGCTACATGGCAGTACCTTTTAGAAGATGCAGAATACTACCATAGACGAATAGCACAATATCAAGGTTTATTATAAATTTAGTGAAACTCTATTATTATTTTGCTAGCTATTTTGAATTAGTTTTCTTACATTGTTTTCAAATTTTTCAGATTTGATTTTGTCAGAGGAATCAACGAAAAATTTTGGGTTGATGGAGATTGAGAAATTGTTACAAGTCTATAATAAGTCTTTGAAAGACTTTGCACCAATGCCATTACCAAACCCAGCTGATGTATCATTGCTAAGTAATAGGTTATTGTTGGAGGAACTTTCTTATGATCGTGAAGCCATGGCTAAAGAGAGTGAGATGTTAACTTCACAACTAACTGATGAACAACGTGTTGCATATGACACAATTTTGGGAGACGTGCAATGCAGTAATGGTGGTCTGTTCTTTGTATATGGTTATGGTGGCACTGGAAAAACATTTCTTTGGAAGGCTTTATCATCAAAGTTGCGGTCTAAAGGTGACATTGTGATTAATGTAGCTTCAAGTGAAATTGCTTCTTTGCTGCTACCAGGTGGGCGTACCGCACATTCTAGGTTCTCCATACCCATAATAGTGAACGAGGATTCAACATGTAACATAAAGCAGGGTAGTCACTTAGCTGAATTGGTTATCAAGACAAATTTAATTATATGGGATGAAGCTCCAATGATGCATAAATATTGTTTTGAAGCTCTTGATAGGACGATGAGAGACCTGCTTAGATTCAATAATCCTTTAAGTGCTGACAAAACGTTTGGTGGGAAAACAGTTGTATTTGGTGGTGACTTTAGGCAAATATTGCCTGTGATTCCTAAAGGCACAAGACAAGATATTGTTGCCGCAACTATCAATTCTTTGTATTTGTGGAATAATTGTAAAGTTTTGCGGTTGACAAAGAACCTCCGTCTAAATAGAATAGAACATGGTGTGCATCAGTCTGAAGTTGAGGAGTTTGCTAATTGGATTGCATCTATTGGTGATGGAACAATTGGGGGCCCAAACGATGGTTACGCAGAGGTTGTTATTCCAAATGATTTGTTACTGCCATGTATTGATGACCCGATTCAGACAATTGTTGATAGCATTTTCCCGGATTTTATGAATGCTAGGTGTGACCCCAACTATATGCAAAGTCAGTGCGGTTCTAGCACTAACTCTAGAGGTTGTGAACTCAATAAATGAGTATATGAGTGGCTTGCATACAGCTGAGAGTAAAACATATTTCAGTTGTGACACTGTGTGTAAGGCAGATTCAGACAACGGTATACTGGGAGTGTGCACACTCCAGAATTTCTTAATGGGTTGCGATGTTCGGGGATTCCAAATCATGCATTAACATTGAAAGTTGGATCACCTGTAATGTTGTTGCGAAATATAGATCACTCTTTGGGCTTATGCAATGGTACAAGGTTGGTCATCACAAGATTGTCCGAGCATGTGATTGAAGCCAAAATAATGACTGGTGACAATGCTGGGAGTTCGGTTTTGATACCTAGAATGTCTATGACTCCATCAGAAACAAGATTGCCTTTCAAATTCCAACGGAAACAATTTCCATTGATGTTGTCATATGCAATGACAATAAATAAAAGTCAAGGTCAAACACTCTCTCATGTTGGGTTGCTACTAAAGAAACCAGTGTTTGTACACGGCCAATTGTATGTTGCTGCGTCTAGGGTTAGCAATCCTATGGGTTTAAAAATTCTAATTTGTAATGATCTTAATAATATTTGTACTTCTACTACTAATGTCGTTTATCATGAAGTTTTTAACAATTTGTAAATATAATTACAATTTTCGGACTTATTACTATTATTATGTCATGTATACTTTATTATTATCATATATACAATCCATTTTTGTTTATTACAATAACACTGTAAATTAAAATTTTATTTGTAGACCGTGCATCGCACGGGTACAATACTAGTAATAAAAATAATGGTAATTGTTAATTAGCAGAAGGTCCCGGTCCAAGATGCTAATTGTTAAAAATAATAATAATTGCTAGTTAGGGAAGGAATAAAGGAATTAGGATATATAGGGTGGTCTTATAGTGCATACCATTCTTAATGTGTGAACTTGTGCACCCATCCGGTGCATTGATCGCGTGCATCTGACGACCCAGGATAAGCATTCATATCGTTACGATGCATCGGCACACATGGTACAATATGGGCATCCCGAGGTATCGGCGTATCGCGTGTTTTGTTCTTAATTGGACTGGACTCCAGTTACGTCTCTCCCATCCTATTTTTCCGGACATCCTTCTGCGTACCCGGACTAGGTTGCTACGACGCGAAGATGGAGCATCCCGGCGGGGGCATGTTGCGGCCGGTGCATCCGAGACTGCTTCCACAGGTATCCTCCACCCTTACCCTCCCTACCTTCTTTTGGTTTCGTACGCCGCACTTGCTGAACGCCGACGTCGTACCGGCGGAGACACCGGAGGCAGCCCCTGTGCGGCAGCTGGTGCGCCGGAGCGGTGGCTTATCCCAGCCTTGTAGCGGCACCCTATGGGTGTGGTTGTATCCTCCTACTGCTGCTTCGTTGCCGGACTACCATGGATGATCAACCCCTGGCATGCGAATTAGGGTAGTAGTATATATGTTGGTTTACACCCACCTTCCACTAAATTAGTAGTGGTGGTGATTATGGGCTGTTGAATACACAGTCCAGTAAAGTTGGAGGTTGCGGTGGTGATCTGAGGTTGGTTACCACCCACCCTATAGAGTATTAGACTTGTATGTGATTATGGGGTTCGTGAAGCTGATGATCACTGCAATACCTCAGGTGGTCAGGTTTCTTCATATTTAATGGTGCCCAGGTTTGTTTTAATTTAATTTATAAACTTGCGGCTATGAGTCATAAAAGTACGACTCCGTAAAAACTTTCTCCAATTTGTAATTTGTTTTATCACATTTTTAATGGGAATCTTATCTTCTATAATGCGCGTGCTGGTTGTGAATCGTAATGAGTGTTCGCAACACCAGCTTCTTTAATGGATTCTAGTTTTAATACTGCTAGTGAAGCTAAGTAACACAGAGGGAATAAATTGTAGTAAAAAAATAGCACCATCAAGGTGGGGTTGAAACAGTGGATCATAAGAATGATACAGGGTAGTGTCGTTTTTGGCTCCATATTCATATACGTAGAGGGTGTCAAAAGATTTGGCATTAGTAATATTTTGTTGATGATGTGCACTGACGTTGTATTATTTACTGAAGGTGTGCACTGGCAATTGTAGTATTTTATTGAAGATGTGCACTTTCAATAGAGTGTAATTTTAATTATTCTTCATTCTAATAGTACTAGTGAAGCTAAGTGACAGAAAGGGAAAGAGTCACAGTTCATCCATGTTTCTCTAATCATATAGTCCGCTAGTCATCATGCTTCTTCAATGCTCTCTTTCTTGAAATCTAACACAAAAGCTGGTAATGCATCCTAAACACATAAAATCATTTTAAGAAAAACAAAAAAAATAAAAAAAATAAAAAAAAATAGCACCAAGTAAGTTAGGTTGAAACAATGGTGCAAAAGGAACAGGAAGGACTATGTAGTATTTTATTGATCCTGCGCATTGTCAAATCTAGTAGTCAATCCATTAATTAAGCAATTATGTCCTTTCTGGTTGTGCAACCGTGGTTGTTGCGGTGTAATTAATTAATGAAAAAAATAGAATGAAGAATGAGATTTCATGTGGGTTCGTTGACAATTTTCTGATGTAAATTTTAAAGGAATAGAAATCGTAGTAATAGAATTCCAGTATTTGTAATCGAAACGAAAAGGGTAGAATAAGTGCGAAGAATGCACAAATGAATAAATGGTTTTATTGGAGGTGTGCACTGACAATTCTAGTTTGTTATTTTAGTGTTGGCTTTAGTTCTTAATCACCAAAAGTGTGTTACGGCTACTGTAATTTAATTTTACAGCTAAATAACACTTTTAATGGTTTGTAAACTAATCAATGAGACGAAACAAGAAATTCATTAGAGATGATATCTAGTAATGTTGCGCATATAATGTTTTCATGTTTTCCCCCAGGGGCAATGAGGGGGAGATGGTGAGCGGGAGTGTGACGCAGTGGTTATTGCATATGATAGCCATTGTGATAACTATGATATCGTGCTTTAATTTTTAATTTTTTTCTTCTTGTTTTATTTTTTATTTTTCTTTTAGTTTGGTTTGGTACATACATTGGAGTTCTCCTGCATTAATATTGTTTGATAAACATTAGATTTTGAGTGTATATCTTCTTGAACAGGTGCTACTAATGAGTTTTCATGTTTTAACCCGTGACTCTTACCGGGACCAATGCAAACCATTTTATACTGAGCAAATGCTTAATTTCATTGGTTTGTTTTATTCATTGCAGGAGGTGGTCTGTGGGATGACGAGTTTGTGTCCATGATAAAGTCCATGCACCGTTGTGTGTCCATGTTAGACAAGTTTCTAATTGTAATAGTATTATTTCACTTTTATTGATTTAAAGTAGTTGACTAGATTAATTGCCACATGACATACCTAATGTATTCAACTGCACTGGTGCACACCTTAGTGTAATTAGATTGCTGGGTTTGCTCTTGTTACATAATAACCATAACTAAAGAATGGTTTGCACGTGGTAGTGCCATGATAGAACCCATGCACCACTGTGTGTCCCTGTTAGTTAAGTTTGTAATTGTAATGGTATTATTTGACTTTTATTGATTTAAAGCAGTTGTCTAGATTACATGCAATAACCGTAACCAAAAAAATGGATTGCACTGCTGCACAGTTTAATCCATTTAGATGATTGAATTTGCTCCTGCCGTACAATAATCGTAACCAATAAAAACAATGCATTACATTGCTTCACAACCTGACGTTGCTAATGTATTCGATTGCACTACTGCACAACTTAGTGTAATTAGATGACTATATGCTATGTTACCGATTTAAACTTTATTATTTCAGTTTTGTTAATCCAAAATCATTTGATTAGATTACTGTGCTGGAGACTACAACTTGATTCCTTCACTTTTATTGCTTCAAAAGCATTTTTTTTTTGAAGGTCAATCTTACGATTGTATTAATGAATCAAAGCCAAAATAGTGTCAGGTGGGATAGCATCCCAGTACATAGCTTGATCCTGAGTAAATGCTAACGTAGCTAAAGTATGCGCATGTAAATTAACCTGCCTAGAAATATAATCCAAAGTAATACGATTAAATAACGACATAAACGTCCTGCACTGGTCAACTGTGACCCCAACGTACGAATGTATCGGCGCATGATGGTGTCTGAATATCGCTGCCAATTCCATGCAATCCGTGAGTAAACTTACTGATGTGGTGTCCCGTTCAAGTAGCCAGGATAAAGCCTCCTTGTATGCCTGAACCTCCGCCATAAGTGGTGAAAAACAAATTGGTAACTTGCCATTCCTTGCTGCCACAAACGAGCCATCTGGAGCTATAATTACCATGCCGTAAGTAGCCTCGCCCGTGTCGTGCCGGAAACCCGCGTCCACATAACATCGTAGACCATCCCCTCCTGGACCATTCACGTGGTCCGTCGCCGATGTCGGGTTGCTTCAAAAGCATTTGATCAGATTACTATGTTGGAGATTAGGACTTTTTGTAATGTAACCAAATGCAATTAGATGATTGGCTTCGATACTGTTGCATAATAACCCTACCGAACTAACAGTTGCACTACTTCGGGACCTTATCAGTTATCATGGCCCCAACGTACCAGACACCAACAGTAGTGCCACCACTTTAGTGGCCACAAACAAAAAAGGGACATTAGTTCCAGATTTTTAAAGTGTAATACGAGACTAAATTATTAATGGGTGTAATATGCGACTAAATTATTTACAGGTACGCTCTTGGCTTGTGATCTTGCTACTGATACGGTTGAGCTGATCCTTGGAGCAACTGTGCAAACCTGTGGCGGTCATACTCTCCAACGCGTGTGACAATATTCTGCATGTTGCCATTTACTGCACTGAGCAGGATGTTGTGCATGAACCTTTTGCACAGGTTTAGAAGTAGCATTGTTCCTTAATCGGTGCGCACAAAGTGTCTGTTGTTTACTATCTAAGTACGCGGCCAGGAGGTCTATCTGCAATCAAACTATATTTAATTAGGTAGTTGAGTAGAATTAATCAGTGGCGTACAGTGTTGGGTGTGTGTTATGTTTACCAATCTTTCCAGTGCTCCCCCATACATTTATGTGCCCGTGTTCGTTGCCGACGAGCTGTCAATAATGTCGAACCTGGATCGCTTGAAACTGATGCTCATTACATAGTAGCGTCCCTTGTGCAATATTGGGAAGATATACTGCCAAAAAAATGGACACTCGGTTAAATTAGATATGTTCTATGCACTAGTCAGTGAGATGATGTATTTTAGAATTGGACCAGGGTTACCATGTATAATGTGGTCGTCCCCACGTGGTCTGTTCTCTGCACATCAGCATCTAGTTGCTGTTTAAACCACACTAGCCTCTCATCCCGACTGGATAAATACCCACAACAGTCCCAATCTGCACAGTCAAAAAGTTATGAACAAGTTAGAAATGTTAAGAGCACTTCAAACAAGTTATAAGTTCTGACACTAAGTGTAATCTACATCTACATCAAGACTGGTTCTAAACTTATTCACTACAGATCGTACATGTGCACTCCCAATATGCACATTTGTAAAGTTATAAACATGCTGTTTAATATTATGTGTAACTACTTCCAATTGTAATATTATAAAATGCTTTAGGCTCCTTGAAACAAGTTGGAAATGTTAAGTGCATTTCAAACAAGTTTTTAGTTCTTAACGTAGGTGTTAGCAAAAAGTAAAGGTAAATTAAAGTGGCCTTAATATTCCAGAGTATACATCAACATAGCCTTCCAGTAGCTACATTCAATCCAGACTTTAATATTCCAGTAGCATTCCAGTAGCCTTGCATCATATTCCAATCTGCCTATTCTTCACGTGCAATATGCAACATTTGTCCCTTTACGCAAATAAAACCAATTCTAATAATTGACATTTACTGCATATCAGTGCTTCCATCTTAGGTTTCTGGTCTTAGTTGCAATTATCCCATACCAACTACGAATCACAGTTAAAAGAATGAAAGCCAAAGTGCAGTTTTGACAAAACCAGTTCTAAATCTAATATTGACTTTTATTGCATATCAATATCAATGCTTCCATCATAGGTTTGTGGTCTTATTTGCAATTATCTCATACCAACTACGAATCACAGTTAAACTGTACCTAACACTGCCAATGGATTCTAATTGTAGTTCTACTAGTAAAGCTAACAACGCTTATAGATCGTAGTACGGGAGTAGGGGCAGGTGTAGGTGTAGGTGTAGGTGCATTTACGCATACTCAACTGTACAGTCATTCAATGAGTTAATTTAACATAATTTAGTTAATTTACAAATGCAAATGCAAGTCTAGATTACCATAGATGCACATGGCATGGATGCACAACGTTGTTCTCTATTCACACTTTTCACTCTATGAAATGCCTAGTAAAAAAGAAATTCTTCCTTATTATTTAACTAGACCAAAATGCGGCCTC